AATTCCCTTGGAATTCTAACACTTTTCACACCTCAAACAAAGCTATTCCATGCTATGCAACTTAAAATTACAAATTTGGAAAAATTACTATTACAAAGTTTCAATGTGGACCCAGGCGGCCCTGGACAATCTGACACGCCTAGGACGGTCCCTTAAATATCCAGGTTCTTAGGTTCCAAGCATAGCAACTGTCTGGGTGCAGCCCTGAGTGAGTCGGCAGCTGTGCTGCTCTGTGCCAGCCCTAGGCTCGGTTCCCGCACTCGGGGGGACAGGGCCAGGTGCTCCCCAGGGAGGCAGTACTTGGGCCCAGTGACCTTTCCCACAGTCTGTGGCCTGGTGCTTATAACCCCGGTGTCACTGGTTCCCGGACTAGGGAGTGCCAGCCTCACCGGCGAGCCCAGGGTTGAGGTCCCACGTCACTCAGTGGCCCCGGGCACTGCCACCCTCATGGGACAGCCGGGCTCCTTTCCAGCATCAAATCAACCTGAGTTGGGTGCAGGCGCATCGAGCCCAGTGCCTACAGCTCCAGCTTCCTCCCAGGGTGCAACAGAAGCAGATGGCAGCCAGGACCCTCCGAGCCCCAGGCCTGTTTGTCCCCTCAGCAAAGACCATGGGTCTTGCTCTGTCTCTCTCTCTCTCTCTCTCCCTTCTTTTGTGGTGCTGGAGACTGAACCCAGGGCTTTTGCACTGAGCTACCTCCCCAGAGCTTTTTATTTTTAATTTTGAGACAAGTCTCGCTAAGTTGCACAGGGTGGGCGATCCTCCTGCCTTGGCCTCTGAGAGTCCTGGAGTTACAGGTGTGTGGCCCTGCACTCGGCCCCCATGCTTCTCCAAACATGTGGGAACATGGGAACATCTTCCCCGCTGGCCTTGTACACCCTTGAGCCCACTGTGGCACCAGGCAGCACCTCCCAGAGCCACACTCGCTGTCTCCCCAGGCTCTGCGGCCGGCAGTTAGTTCTCCAGTCCTGGGTGATGCATTTGGAGGCCATGTCCCTGAGCCATATCAGGAGCCCCGAGGGTGGCACCCAGCCTGCCCGGCCAGAGCCACAGGCCATGCCTGCTGTGCCCTCCTGGAACTTCCTGTCCACTGGCCCTGGCCACAAAGCCAGAGTGGAGCTGAGCGTCCCTGCTGCCCCTGCATGGACAGTGTCACCCTGGCGTCTGAGCAGTCAGGACCATTTTCCTCCATCTTGACCTTGGCCAGACCGAATGTGGGGCGCCGAGAGCACAGCCCCCTCCGTGCCTCGCCTCGCCTCGCCGTGCGGTCCCCGCAGCATCACCCTGGCCACCGAGGCCATGAGTGGAGGACACCCCGCTCCGCCCACCCGCTCCCCCAAAGGGGCTGCCTGGCCACCCTCATTAATCTCAAGCTCAGCCCGTGTCAAAGTGCACACCATTTCTTGTAAAAATGATCCGGCTGCTAATTAGGCTGTTTATAACTTGTTTCCCTGGCCGCTAATGATAATTAACATGCAAATTAGCTCGGGGAGGGGAGGCTCTGGGGCCCCTGGTTCATTACCACGTTAATTACTGTTTGCATACTGAAGTATCGCAGATATAAATGGCGGCATTTAGTGTAACGGGCAAGATGATAATTACACCGATGGCATTTTGAAAAGTCATTTCGCCATGCTATTTTCTGTATGATTAACGATTCCCAGCCGCCTGGTTGATAAACTTCGTTAGTTCAAACCAGTATAGGCTGTGTACACGAGCCAGCGGGCTGGTTCCCAGCACAGCGCCATCAGTCTCCTGTCCCCTGCTGGCACCGAGTTTGGGGAAAGAAAAGGCAAAGGACAGACGGGCAGCGCTGGGGAGAGCAAACTTCTGGAAGCCCAGTTGTTCAGGAACCAGTTCCTGGAATCCACTGTGCCTGCATCGGGCAGGCTCTGTTCAGGTGCAGACCCCAGGGACCGGGCATGTCCCGCAGTGTGACAGAGATCTCCGTGCCTCTGCTCCTCCCTCCTTCCTTCCTCTGCTCCCTGCCAGGCATCTGCAACCCACCCTTGCCCTTCTGGGCCAATGTCCCAAGGCCAACAGTGAAGAAGCCAGGGGACAGGGAAGAACGGGGGGCTCTTGTAGACAGGAGAGGCAGCTGCAGTCTGTGGAAAGAGGGGGACTGAGCCCAGACTTCAGGGAAGTAAGGAGGGGCCAGAGAGATGTTGGGGGAGGGCTATGCAAAGGCCCTGGGGCAGGAACCGGCTTTGGGGAGAACAGGGGCGGTCGGCACTGCCAGGGCCCAGCGTGGCCGGGCTCGGTGATGAGCTAAGGAGAGGACAGGCGGGTCTGCAGGCCGGAGCCTCCTCACAGCAGGTGAGAGGCCCAGGACAGGAGTGAGGCCGCTGCGCCCTCCTCGCTCGGGCCCGTCCCCCATGGCCGGGTGGCCCAAGACCCAACAATCTGGATCCACAGCCTCAGCCTCAGAACCGGTCCCCACCAGCACCGGGACGTGGAGCCTGCATCCTCCCCACAGCCCCAGCACCCCACAGCCTGCAGCAGAGGGGGCTCCTGAAACCACCCCGCCCCGGACTGCAGCACAGGGCAGCAGCAGGTGGAGGAGCCTCTGTGCTGCATTATTGATCAGGGGCGGGGACAGCAGCCGGGACAGGTGGAGACACTGACGCCGCACAGGTGGGGCACCCCCAGGACAGGCTGGGCACTGAGCTCACGCGGACAGGACGCAGGCTGAGAGGCATCCACAGCCGGGCGCTGGCCCGGAGCACAGTGCTCCTTTATCTGCCGGATTCCTGCTCACCGGCTAAAGAGCAGAGGCTGAAATTTCACCTGGTGGCAGCCAGGCCTGGGCCTAGATCTTCCCAGTCCCCAAACACCAGCCCAGGTAAACCTCCCGCACCAGGGCTGCTGGGCGGAGCCATGTGGGATGGGGGGGGCGGTCCTGAGTCGGGGTGGGGACACAGCCCCACAGAGCACCTGCACAGGGCGTGGAGGCAGCCCTGGCTGTGGGACCCCGGCCCTGATGAACAGCCCCAGGCCCCAGGCCCATGGGCCCACCCCTCCCAGGTGAGGGTCTACAGCCAGGGACAGGGTGGGGGCAGCACCCCAGGTGGCCAGGGGAATATGGGGAGACCACGTGCCACTGACGGGCAGCTCAGGACTGGTTCCATGAGTTCGGGGCCCAGGGCTGGGTTGGACAGTACCTACCAGCCCCTCTGGGGCAGCAGGGGCAGCAGCTGGGGCCGGGGGGGCGGGAGTCCCAGGCTGCTGGTCCCCACTGGCCACTCTGGGCCCAGAACCGCTCCCCACTTGCAGGGGCCTGCCCTGGGACTGGCTCAGGTAGCTGAGACCAAGGTAGGTGTGGTGGCCGCTGCCCTCCCTTCCTGGATCGCATGAGCCCAGCCTCCCTAACCTGCCTGTACCCAAGGGCACTGAGGGCCCAGCGAGCCTAGCCCAGCAGTGCCTGAGCCCACCTACCACCTGCCCAGCATCTGGAGACGGGAGGTGGCCCTGGGCCCTTGGCTGTCAGCGGCCTTTCCTCCCTACGCCGCCCTGGCCCGACTCCTCATGCTTGGTCTCACTCAGCGCTGCTCCCAGGGCAGGGGCAGGAACGGGCCTCCTCAGGCATCCCCATGGGGCTCCAGCAGCCAGCAGGGCCCCGGGGCCCCGCTGCTGTCCCAGGCCTGTGGTGACAAGTGTCGGCGGCGGCCGATTCCCACTGAGACTCCCTAGTTCTAATGCAGTGGGGTGTTCAGGGCAGCAGAAGTGAAGTCCTTCCCCCAAGGCTCTGGGTGGCCGCGGACTCCCCACTGCATCCGGCCTGGTCACAGCTCTGACAGGCACAGCGGTGCCGGGTGCCAGTCTCGCTCACGGGCAGTGCAGACCCTGTGAAGGACTGAGGTAACAGAAATCTGCCGGCCTGGGTCTGGCTCCCTGAGGCCATGGGCCTTGGCCCTTGCCCGGCCCCGGCAGCAGCACTGGTGGCACCTCAGACCACCTGCATGGGTGTGCTGCCCTCAGATGGGGCTGTGATCAGAGTCCTGGGGCTCAGTGCACCCGGGCACTTGCAGGGATGGATCAGGGCCAATGTGGTTGCAGTGCTCACACAGATCTGCCACCTCTGTGCCCCAGGCCCTTCCCGACCCCTGCTCCACCACGGTGCCTCATTAGAGTACTTGAAGGGAAAGTAACCAAAGCACAGTAATAGGCACTCTTAATAGACTGTGGTCCAGCCATTGTGCACATCCAGGAGCTAAAGAGCAGCGGGCGGGCAGACAGGAAGGCCAATCTGCCCTGCACTCCCCCCAGCGGCCTCTGCCTCCACAGCTCCAGGCCACAGTGTCCTCCCCCGTGGGCCTGCGGCCGAGACCTCAGGGGCAGATGCGCTCCCAGCCCACCACTCCCTGAGCCCCACAGCCCCTGGCACCTCTGCACCCTGCGCGGGGAGGGGCCGGCCAGAAGTGGGCCCTCTCTTCAGGGACACGACACTGGTCCCCCCCGAGGGCCCCAGGACAGCTGCCTGTGCCCAGCTGGGATTCTCACAACCAGCCCCCCACCCTCCCTGCTGCAGGGGTGGGAGGGGATCCCTAAAATAGCCCCCACCTCAACCACAGTCCAAACGTCTGGGGCCCCCCTAGGAGTCAGTGGTGGGCTACAAGGGTGCAGTCCCACCTGCCCAGGGAGGAGAACATCTTCCAGGACAGGGATTCAGGGCCAGGTGGGGGTGCATAGGATCCCAGGGGTGCAGGGTAGTGAGGGGACCTCCAAAGCAGCCAAGGTAGAGTTCTAGGGTACAAATCCAGAGCCCTGGAGCTGGCAGCTCTACCCCGGCGCCCACAGGCACCACACCCCTGTGCCCCCAAACTCAGCTTCTCTGTCCTGGCCTACCCAGCCCGCCCCTGTGGGAGGCCACCCTCCCCCTCCCCCACTCCTGGCTTCTGGAGAAACTGGGGGGGTTGGGGGCTCAGCCTGGGCCTCCTGCCACAGGGGGCACTGTGGAGCAGCCAGGCTGAAAGGGTGTTGACGCTCTCCCAGGAAACAGGATCTGCCACCCCGGCCAGTGCTGCCCAGGCCAGGCATCTACAGGAGCCCACTGCAGCCCAGGCTGGCCAAGAAGGACTGGGGACCCAGGGCCCTTCCCTTCCCCAGGGCACATCGGGCTGGGCTGAAGCCACCGGCAAGGGTGAGTGTCCTGAAGAGAGGGTGTGTGCACTGGGTGTCTGCCCTGCCGGGGAGGGTCAGGGCTCCTTCGAGCCAGCACAGAGACGAGGGAGGGGTCCTGAGAAGTTGGGCCCCAGGTCAGGAGGGGGGCAGGGCTGGTCCCCAGGACCCCACTCCAGAACAGAGCCTAGTGGTGCTGGGCAGAATCACCCCGCCCCACCAGGGCCAGGCAGGTGCCCCAAGCGCCCCAGCCTGGTCCGTATCCCCCAGTGTGAGCAGGGGGCAGAGACGGCCCTGGTGGGGCCTGGAAAGCTGCTGGTGTCGCCCTGCTGGGGAGCCCTGTGCTGCTGGGAGGGCGGGGAGAGCCAGGTGCCCTGGCCAGGGCCACCTGGGCCAGGGGTCAACCCTCAGGTTGCCCTGGCTGGAGTCCCTGACCCCCCAGCCCACTCATCTCCTCCAGCCCCTGGCCTCAGAGAGCGACCCACCGGGAGCCTTGTGTCCCAGTCTGCCCAGGCGGAAGCAGAGGCGGGAGGTGCCAGGGTGGGGAACGTGGTCTAGAGGCCCTGGCAGACACCCCGTAGTGAAGACAGGCAGCTGAGGGCCACCCCGATGTCTACAGGGTCCAGGTCATGGATCACTGGCAGGGTCACACTCGCCCTGCACTCCATGGGAGGAGAAGCTGCGGTCAGGGGCTGAACGCTGACCACAGCGCCCTCCTCCAGGGTGCCCGTGAGGACCAGGCATGGACCTGCAGATGCCACAGGCATGATGTCGGCCCAGGAGCTCGTGGCCTGCCTCTGCCGTGAGGGGGACCAGCGCCTGGCTCTGGGGGAGCCGCGCCTAGCCACGGCTTTCTACCTGGCCGCCTTCAGCTGCCACCCCTCCTCAGCCGTAAGGAACGTGCGGGCAGCACTGGCTGAGGCCCAGGGGGCACCCGTGGTGGCCACCCTGGAGGCCTGGTGCCGCGGGGACAGCCAGATCCCGGCTGTCCACTGGGATGGCATGGCGGTGGTCTCGCTGACAGGGGCCCTGGCCTCCGCCTTCCTGGGGGCCCTCTGCCCCGACCACCCAGCCGCGGTCCTGCACTTGCTGGCCAGCCTGCTGGCCCGCGGGCACCACAGGGAGGTGGTGCAGCGCTGCGATGCCCTGCTGGATGCCCACTCGCAGCAGGCCCTGGAGCTGCAGCTGACCCGCGCCCTGGCCCGCATCCTGTCCGGGGAGCAGGTGGGCGAGGGTGTGGCCGATTACCTCCAGGCCTTCGCCTCGAGCACCAGCCGCACAGTGGCCTTCATCCGCACCCACCAGCAGCCCTACCTCCCCACACTGCTCAGCACCCTGCGGAGCCACATCTCAGGCCATGCAGAGGCCACAGACAGCGCCAGCCGGCAGGACACTGACTGCCAGGAATTCCTGGCTGCACTGGACCCCAGGGGCCCCTGGCGCGACACCCCGTCTCCTGACAACCTGCTCCTCCTCGGCAGGTATGAGGACTGCTTGGCCATGTGCAGCCAGGCCCTGCAGTCTGACCCGACGGGCAGCGGACCCCAAGGTAGGAGAGCAAGTCACAGCCTCCCACTAGGGCCAGGGTGATGGGTGCTCCAGCCACAGTTAAGTCCTGCCGGGGTGAGGTATGCTGGTGCCAGGGACACCAGAGTGACAAGACAGTCGGCCCTGCCCTACTGAGCTTCTGGGAGGGTCGAACCCAAGCCTCACTTTGAAAATGGACTGGGAAAGGCACTGCTCCGCAGGGCATGGGGCTCTTCAGGGAGGAGCGAGCCAAGACTAGAGGCCCCAGCAGAGAAGACAGGCTGCCAAGGTCCAGGGAAGACGAGGTTGGAGCATCCTTGCCACCGGATGGACGAGGGTGGCTGCTGGGAGGACAGGGTGGGGAGTGCTGCAAAGGCCAGCTGGGCTGAGTCCTGCTGGCCTCCGAGGGGCTTCGGTTTTCCCCTCAGAGCCACTGAAGGTTTGAAACAGCAGTGGGTGGGTGCTCGGAACTTGTGCTTAGCGTCTTCTAGCTGATGTGCGGAATGTACCTTCGGAACCAGAGGGAGGGCAGAACCTGTTGCGATCTGGGGCTCTGGGGGTCTGAGAGACTAGGAGACTAGGAGCTGGGAGAGCTTAAGGGTTGAGGGGCTGGGGGTCGTGGCTCAGGAGAGAGACCATGGGCTTCATATCTGGGAGAAAGTGTTGCACTGAACCAGCGGGCATGAGCGCTCCCTGTGTAGAAAGGACAAGAGCATGGACAGAGCTAAGGGTGGCAAGGTACGGATGGAGAAGGGGTTGAGAATGAAGCTAGACCTGGACTGAGGGGAGAAGCCGAAGGCAGACGGGGTGTCAGGGTTTCCAACGTCCCGTGTGTGGTCAGCTTTCTGCTTCTATAACGCAGAGCCTCAGATGGCCAGGCTGTGAGAGGAAAGGTTCATCTGGCCCCGCTCTGGAGGGCACAGCTGGAACGGTTGACCTTGAGGGCATCTGAGGGACAGAAAGAGGCAGGTTGTGCTTGGAGAGGCCGGGACGTCACCAGGGCTGGGCCCACAGCACGACATTAGTGTGACCCCACAGGGCTGTGGGAGGAGCCAGGCCAGTGGCACTGGAAAGTGAGTGGGGCAATTTGTTCCTGGGACTAAATCAGACCAGATGCCCTGAGCCCACTCCCCACAGTGTAATTACCAGAAAACGCTCAATGGAGTAACAAAGATGCCAGCACTTCTGGAGAGGAGGGCACCCAAGGACAAGTTAACATAGCCAGAACTGGGCCAGGCAGCCACAACCGGGGCAGAGGCATCTTCCTCTTGAACGATTGTGCAGGGCTGGGGCACATGCTGGGGAGCCACAGTGGAGACCCTGCAGAAGCCCAGAACCCCCAGAGCTACCGCCTGAGAAAAGGAGTGTGCAAGGAAAGACCAGCCCTGGGGAGGCTGCCAGAAGTGTGTCCGTGCCTGTGTGGCTCCCACGTGGATGGGCAGGGCCTGCCTTCACCAGGAATCACATGTCAGTGAGACCGTGCCACCACATCAGGAGGCCACCATGTCACCAATCCCCAACACAAATATGGTCATCATGGGAAGTGAAGAAGTGAATGCTCCCACAACAAGCTGGGCACACGTTGACACACACATGTGATGACAGTGTACGGGATGAACCCAACTGTAACTCACAAATCTTGGCACCCAGTAAGGAGGCATGTGGTGCTATGGCTCCTCGAGGGCTTGCCCCCTGGAGTACCATCCCTTGCTCATTTGAGGCTCTGCATAAAAACAGCAGGGCAGGTGAGAAGTGCGTCCATGGATCACAACTATTTCTGGCAAGAGCAGAAGCAGGCCTGGCTTTGTGACTTCTGGACCAGTGGGATATGGTGGAGGTGACATTGTGTGGGGCACCACTCTGGACCATTCCCAGTGCCAGGGGAGGAGGCTGTGCCCGTCAGCTTTCTGTTGCTGCAACAAAATGCCTGAAGCTCTCAACTTCGGGAGAGAGGTTTGTTTCACTTCTGTTCTGGAGATGGCAGACCATGGCTGGGAGACACGGTGGCTCTGGGGCCATGTGAGGTGGCACGCTGTGGCACAGAGGTGTGGTGGAGAAGCTGCTCCCCTCATGATGGCTGGGAAAGCGAGTGCAAGAGGAGGCCCAGGGTCCCACCCCCTCCAGCCCAAACCTCAAGTGACCAGAAGTTTCCAGGAGGCCTCCATCTCCTGAAGGCTGCACACCTCCCAGGAGCACCCAGGCTGGCACTGAGCTTCAGCTCCTGAGCCTTGGGGGAAGCATCTCCAAACTACAGCAGAGGCTCTGAGGACACACTTGGAGCAAGACCTCTAGGACCCACCTGCTCTGTCCAGCCCGCAGTGAGCCCAGGCCAGACCGACGGAGGAACCACGCATATTGGCTCAGCCCAGACGGGAGAACCATGGCAATAGGAAAGGTTGTTTTAGGCTATTTTGTGGTGGCTTGTTACGCAGCAGTAGTTAACTGCTACAACTGCTAACTGGCCCAAAGCATTGGTTTCTTTCTTAAACTATCACATAGTAATTGTGTAAATTTACAGAGTAGAGTATGATTTTTTGATACATATATACATTATGTCATCAGAGTCATTAGCCTATATATCACCTCAAACATTACCGCTTATTCCTTGTGAAATGTTCAAAACCCTCTCTTCTACCTATTTTGAAATATACAGCACATCATCATTGTCTAAAACCACTCTACTTTGGAATAACACCAGAACTTATTCCTCCTGCTAATTGTAACTGCCTAATGGTATTCCAATGTGTGTATATGCCACGTTTTCTCTAGCCATTTGTCTATTGATGGACACTTTGGCTCCATATCTTGGCTAGGATGTAAGTTTCAGCCAAAACTCAGTTAAATCATGCAGGACTTAAGAGTTTTATGGTTTCATAATAATGTAACTCAACAAATTCAATAATAGAATAAAGAAAAACATATGATCATTGCAATAGATTTACAAAGTGTTTTTGTGTTTTGTTTGGTTTGGTTTGGTACCAAGGATTGAACTCAGGACCTTGCACTTGTGAGGCAGGCAGCAGAACCACTGAGCTAAATCCCCAGCCCTACAAAGTGTTTTATGATACTTATCACCCCCCAAAATTTAAGAACCCATGAGTAGAAGAAAACTTACTTAATTGAAAAAGATAACATCTATTAAAAACCCCGCCATAAATATTATACTTCATGGTGACATTTTAGAAGTCTTCCATTTAAAACCAATAATGAAGCCAGGCATGGTGGCACATTGGGAAGTTAAGGCAGGAGGATCAACTTAGAGCCTTAGCAAGACGCTGTCTCAAGGTTAAAAAGAAAAAAACTTAAAAGGGTTGAAGATGTAGCTCAGTGTGAAGGCCCTGGGTTCAGTCCCCAGTATCACCAAAAATCAACCAATCAAATCAAACCAGTAATGAGGCAGCTGGCCACTCTCCCATTTGTCATCACTATACTAGAGATCCAAGCCAAAGCACTATGATAAGAAAACAGAACACACAGGCTAGAAAGTCCAGATAATATTACTAGCTTTCTAGAAACCTCAAAGAACACAACCAAAAAGTACTAGTAAAAAACTTAGTAAAAAAATTCAATAGGATTTCCAAATTCATTTACATGTATCAACTCCAGGAACAAAAAGAAATGCTACCACTTTAAAATACATTATTTTACCATGGCAGGAGAAAATAATTGTTTGAAGTCACATGATTTTATGGAGAAAATTAACAAACTATTAAAATGGAATACCTATATAAATACAAAGATGTGCAATGTACACCATTCAGAAGGATTTGATATTATAATAAAGACCAAAAGGTCAATAATGATTAAGACATAAAAAGGGGAGGAAGAGGAAGAGAGGCAGAAAGGGAAAGGGAAGGAGACAGGAGGAGAACTTGCTCTACCAGTGAACAGAGTGACCCTAATCAGCACAGATGTTTGTCGACTTACGGGACAGATAGAAAGATCAAGAAAAGAAGTGAGTCCAGCAAGACCCACACATATCTAAAACCTCACACATGACAGAGTGGGCACTGCAAAACTCTAGGGGAAACAGAGGACCACTATTCAAGGGATCATGCTCACTTCCTGCCTCATGCTATGCAGAAAACTAAATTCCCAGTGGGTTATATGAATGCTAAATTTTAGTTCCTAAAAGAAAATACAAGGGAATATCATGATGTACAGTTGGACTTCTTAAGATACAAAAAGTGGAAACAATAAAAAAAATTTGACACATTAGATTTTATTAAAATTCTGAAGCTCTGTTTTGGCCCTAACTCTAGAAAATGAAAGGACAATCCCCAGAGAGAAAATAACTTCCAAATATATAATGAGAAAAAATTAGTATGCAGAGTAATTGAAGAGTTCCTTCATATTGATAAGAAAAATCCAATAAAAGAATTGGCAAAAACATTTCCCAAAACAGGAAACACAGATGGCTAATAAAACATGTGAAAAATACTCACCATCATGGTAATGAGACAAATGCTAATTAAAACAATGAGAAACTATTTTCTTTCTACCCACCAGATTGGGAAAAATTAATGAACCTCATGAGTAATTGGGAACATGAAAATTAAACAATGGGATAGCACTTTATGTACCCTCCCTGGGTTGTCAACACTGTTAAATTTAAAAATAGAAGATCTGGCTGCCAGTAAAGATGGAATAGCTTGACTGGATACACGTCCTGCAGGTAATGATCACACAAATGGATAAAACAGCAAAAGCAGCTACCTGAAGGCACTGGACAGTAGCCACACTCAGGCAAAACCATAAACTGAGCCTGGGAAGGTGGGGCTGTGTGAGGGGAGGTCTGCATGCTTGGAGCTTCACCCTAGGGAAGAGGAAGAAGAGAAGGAAGAGGAAGAGGAAGTAGAGGAGGAGGAAGAGGAGAAAAAGAACATAATGGAAATCCTAGAACTGAAAAGTGTAACAGCTAAAATGAACGAAATCAGCATAACGGAGAAAGAAAAATCAGCAAAAGTGAATGATCTGATACAAAAACTAAAAAAAAAAAAATCAGCCGAGCTTTGGTGACCTGTGGGACAATATCAAGGAACCTACTGTGTGTAATTAAAGTCTTAGAAAGAGAGAGACCACATTTTCATGGGAGTAACTAGCTCCCCACTGGCCCCAGGGGCTCTCCTCCTGCTGTAACTCTTTAGATTCACGAACTATTGCAAAACTCAGGGCTACAGGCATTTCTGTTTGAGTCCACAGGTGATACGGTGGGCTCAACATTCCTGGCTTTAACCACCAGGACCAGGCAGGGTGACCCTGTGATCAACCACCACAACTAGACAAGGGAACTCTGGTTGGTTGGTTGGTGGTTGACTGGTTGGTTGGTTGGTTGGTTGGTTGGCTGGCTAGCTGGTTGGTTGGTTGTTTTGATGGTTCATTGGTTGCATGATTGGTTGGTTAATTCAGTGGTTGGTTGCTTAGCTGATGGTTGGTTGGTCAGTTCAGTGGTTCATCAGTTGGTTGGTTAATGGTCAATTGGTTAGTTCGTTGGTTGGTTAAGATGATTCGTTGGTTGAATGGATGGTTCATTGGTTGGGTGGTTTGATGATTCATTGGTCTGTTGGTTGGTTGGATGGTGGGATGAATAGATGGTTCATTAGTTTGTTGGTTCACTGGTTGATTGATTCATTGGTCTGTCTCAGGGTACAACATGTTTTTTTCCCTTCCCTCTGTGACACTGTGCTTACAATTAACCCTCAGGACCCTGCAAGGTGTAGACTTACAATCCCCACCCTACTTCAGGAAAGGAAACAGACATGTTGAGGTTCAGGAAGCGCCCTGATCACCGGATCAGTGGCACGGTATGCATCATCCCCTTTCTTGGACAGGATGGGGAGATCTGTGTTTCAGAGAGGGAAACATTGAGTCCCCCTCCCAGGGACCCAGGAAGACAGGAACAAAGGTGCCCAGGAGCAATGGCCCACGCAGGTCAGTCAGGCCTTAGCTCTGACCTTGGTGGGAGGGGGGGTGTTAAATCCCTGAAGAGGAAACTCAGTCCTAAAATCCACCATGCAGTGTGAGGGGAAAGAAAGTGTACATACATTTCCATCGGGGCTGAAAGGTAATAAAACTGGGACACCCTGCGGGGGCCACTGCTGCCCATCCCTGTCGTGGGCCTGGTTCTGATCCTGTCTGGTCACCGGTGGACTTGGGGAGAGCTCCAGTCCCGGCTCCTGGGGTCCCAGGGAGACACCCCAGCGGTATTTCAGAGGGTTCACCATGCGGGATCAGCGCCTCTTTCTCTCCCCAGGTGAGCGCCGGGCCGCCCTGCTGGTCACCCGCGCAGCGGCAGCCTCGCTCGCGGGCGGCCGGGCCTCGGACGTGCTGCGGGACCTGCACGAGGCCTTCAGCGAGAGTCCGCGCACGGCGCGGCGCCAGTTCCAAGCAGTGCTGTCGGCGGATGACCAGGGGCGCTTGCGGGCCCAGGTGCAGGAGGCCGCGGACTGGGGCTTTGCCCGCTTCCAGGAGGCCGTGCGAGGCCGCCCCGAGCTCCGCGAGGACGTGGGCCGCGAGCTGCTGGCCCCGGTGACCCGCGCGCTCCGCGTGCTGCTACGCGTGGCGCCGGTCGGGGCGCGACCCGAGCTGGGCACCCGCCTGGCTGAGGGCCTCCTGCTGGCCGGGGACGTGTCGGGGTCCCGCGCGCTGTGCGAGCGCCTCCTGCGGCCGCGGCGCACCGGGGACCGAGCGCTGGACCACGCACCCCTGCTGGCGCTGCGAGGCTTCTGCGCGCTGCACGCGGGCGAGGCGGGGCGCGCGCTCGAGGACTTCCAGGAGGTGCTGGCGCGCGGGCAGCCGGGCCCTGAGGGCTGCGTGCGCGCGCTGTGCGGCCGCGGGCTCGTGCGCGTGCTGACGGGCCGCGAGTTCCTGGGCGCGCTAGACTATGTCACCGCGTGCCGCCTGCGGCCGGAGGAGGCGCTGCTGGCCGCCAAGGCCCTGGTGCCCTGGAACCAGCGGGGGCTGCTGCGGACCGTGCTGCGGGAGGAGGGGCGCAAAATGCTGCTGCTCGCGCGAGGCCTGGGCTGCCGGAGCCGGGCTGCGGACACGCACGGGCCCGGGGAGCAGGAAGGGTGAGAACAGCCTCGTGCTCGGCGGGGCAGAGGGGCGGGGGCGCGCTTCCTCCTGTCTTACAGATGGGTAAACTGAGGCACAGTGGCGGGGTTAGTCTCGGCCCCAGTCTTAGGTCTCCAGATCCTCAGCCTCAAAAGAACGTGATGCACTGGGGGTGAACACGGAAACCCAGCAGTTTAAACGGAGAGGAAAAAGTAAAACTCGGCCACCAGCCCACTGTTAACATTTCCTTCTAGCCATTTCTTTCGGTGCATATAAAAACCTAGCTCAGTGGTTCCGCCGCCTGCCTGGCAAGCGCAAGGACCAGAGTTCGATCCCTGGTACCAAAAAAAAACATTTTTTTAACCCTATCTCATAGAATGGAGTTGGCCCTGTATGTCCAGTTTATATTCTGTATTTTTAACAGAACAGATCATGAAACTTTTCCTTTCTTATCAAGTCTCAGAACAGCTCGCTGTCCCATCTGGTCACCTCCCTAGTCTGCACTGCCCGGTCTAGCCTGGATCCTTCGCCATTCCTAGGGGGACTCGGTTCGGGACATCCTGTGTCCGCAATGCTTTGTGCTTAAGACTGAGGCATGGAGTTCCCGGACCTCATAGGGCCCCTGATTTCAGGCGCCGCCCACCGTGCCCCAGGTGCAGCCTCCTGGCCCTGGCTCCCCTCCCGGCCCCATCTCCAGGGTGAGTCTCCAACTGCTGGGTTCTGCGTTCCTGGGAGAGTCGGCAAGAAGGCAGCCTAACAAGGGATGGGGACCGGAGGCCTCCTGAGGCATCTTTGATGTCCACCCATTCACCCACACCCTGGCTTCCTCGACTTCCTGGGTCGCCTGGTATTGCTTTGGGGCCCCGAAGAAGAGCTTGCATTTCTGCAGTGCCTGCGGTCTGCATTTGTTCTGTATTCTGGGAACTGTCACCTTTGCTGCTTTCACAGTGGGAGCTCATTAGCTAACATTCCAAGAGCTGCCTGATTGTAAACAGCACCCCTGAGCCTGCACAGCCCAAGTGTTAATCTGTGTTTCTGCAGACAAGGAAACTGAGGCTGGGTCTGCTTAGGGGTCAGCCATCCACTGACCACTCTGCCTCAGTTCCTCCTTCTGTAAGGTGCCTGTGGGGTGGCAGAGAGACCCAAGCCAGAGGTGAGGACCAAGGGGGTGTGCTGGAAGAGGTGGCCAGAGGTTCCCATCCAGCCTCCTGAGCAGCTGGAGGGGTGGGGAAGGAGCCCGCCCACATGCAGCCCCTCTCACCACAGGGATGCCTGTGGTGTGCACCAGCTGGCCACGCTGCTGGTGGAGCTGGATCCAGAGGACGAGGCCTCTCGCCTCCTGGCGGCCGATGCCCTGTACCGCCTGGGCCGCCCGGATGATGCCCACAAGTCCCTGCTGGTGGCCCTGTCCCGGAGGCCTCAGGCAGCGGCGGTGCTGGTGCGGCTGGCCCTGCTGCAGCTGCACAGGGGCTTCTCCTATGATGCCAACCAGGTGAGAAGGCCAGGGTGACTGCAGCAGGGAGAAGGGCACGGGGCCCAGCTCTGCTGAGGACACCAGGCCTTCCAGAGCCCTGCTCTGCACGCTACAGCAAACCCTGCTCAGCCCTGGCTCTAGCACAGCCGCAGGCTCACTCCTGTGACCCTCAGCCTCCTCCTCAGTGCCCGCTCTCCCAAGTGCTCATGGGACCGAGCTGCAGCAGGTGCCCTGGGGCTCGGCTCACTTTCTGCACGCAGCGGGTACTTCCTATTCACTTTGGCTGTGTTATGAAGATAAAGGCCCAACACTGAACACAGGCTGAGCCTCTCCCAAGCCCCCACGCAAACCAGGCTTGGCCCTGATCTTGCCCTGGGTTGGGGACTGGGCAGCAGAGGGGCCCTGGGCCCTAGGCCCTCACCCTCTGCCTGTCCCCAGGGACCCCTGCTCCCAGGATGGCAGAGCCTCACAACTTCAGAGGTACAGCAGCTCTGTTTGCACGACAGTCAGCAGGTGATGCTGGGGAAGTTGAGGCTTTGGCGTCCAAGCTGAGGGACCTGCCAGCCCCCTCACCACCACCCCTGGTCTGGTCTGGGATCCGAACCCCACCCAGGGTCCTGGAAGGAAAGGGTGAGAAGGAGGCCACCCTACTCTTTCCAGGACTTGAGGCCACCCCAGAAGCCTTCCCATAGAGCCACCCAGGGGTCTCAACCACCCAGAGCACAGCCTGACCCTGCCGACCTAACCTGGGCTCCAACCCCTGAGCCTCTGTCCTTTGATGACCTGAAAGCCCCTTCCTGGTGCTTATCATTTGGTTCCCTTCCCCTTGGGGTCACCAAGGCGGGTCTTTGCTTCCTGTGACACAGGAAGTGGCCAAGGTCAGGGATAGAGGTCCTGTCTTTTCCTGCATCCTAAGCTGGGGACAGTCCCTGACCTCTGGGGCCCCCATCCCACCAGGAGACAGAGAGATGAATTACCTTCAAAGGCTCAAATGGCCATGGCTGCACTTCAGCAAGTCTTAGTGCTTAGAAGAGACAGGAGGCCCCTGGGCTCCTGGGACAGAGTGAGGGCCCAGCTGGGGCAATGCAAGCTGTGGGGACAGCAAGGGGGAAAAGGGAACAGAGGTGGCGACTCTGCTTCTGTCCCCCAGCTGGTGAAGAAGGTGGTCCAGACCGGGGACACAGCCTGCCTCCAGCCCACCCTGGACATCTTTAGCCATGAGGACCGGCAGTTGCTACAGGGCCACTGCCACTCGAGAGCCCTGAGCATCCTGCGAACACAGCCGTGTGGGGCGGACAGTGGGGCCCACACCCGGGAAGCCATTGCCTACCTCTCTCTGGCCATCTTCGCTGCAGGTAGGGCCTCCCACCTGCCCCAGCTGCATGGGAACAGGGGATTGAGGACCACAGAGTAGACAGGGTGGGGGCCACCCTCAAAGGGCACCTTGCACCCAACCTGGGGCATCAGGCACAGGGTGCTGCCTTGCACCCTCCCTGGCATGTGCCTGCCCTGTGCAGCCCTGTCCCTTGGTGGAGCGTGCAGTCCTGGTTGGGCATCAGGGGACGCTGTGCCCTAACCACTCTCTTCCTGCAGGGAGTAAAGCCAGCGAGTCCCTCCTGGTCCGAGCCCGCTGTTACGGGCTCCTGGGCCAGAAGAAGACTGCCATGTTTGACTTCAACTCCGTGCTGCGGGCCGAGCCAGGGAATGTGCTAGCCCTCTGCGGACGTGCCCTGTTGTACCTGGCCCTGGACCAGTTGCAGGTGCCGGGGTGGGGGTTGGGGGAGGGCACCATCTCCTTCTCCACCTGCAGGTGATGGCCAGGCCATCCCCAGCAGCAAGGTACCCATTGGATCCCCATGTTGTCCTCCCAACCTGCACTGCAGGTAGTGGGAGCTGCATCCCCGTACACCCACTTTCTGAGAGTCCTGCCCTTCCATGGTCCAAACCTCAGTGTGCAGGGATAGACATGCAAGCCCTCAGGGTGACTATGGGGCCAGAAGGCCTGAAGTGTCACTTTGGCTACATTGGTGGGGGATACACGGACTCCTGTGTTGAAAAGGGATTATAGGACAGGTACAGAGGAATGAGTGCTGGCATAGATTAGTCATGTCTGCCACGGGCATAGCAATGGAGTCCATGGAACTCAGATTTAAAGTGAGATATCCCACATTTAAGACATTCTATAGAAACTGCAGCAATTAAAAATAAAATGTTGAGGACCAGGCTGGTGGGAAGAGAGATCCCATTCACATGGGTGGGACTCTCTTTGTGGGACGTTCCTTGTTTGCAGCTACCCTGTATGCTGCCTGCTCTGGCCTTGGGGCACCCATGTAGGGGCTGTGTCTTCCCCCTGGGCTTCTCCCAAGCACAGACATGGGCCCAGGCCCTGGGAGGGAACCCCAGACAAACTGCTTCTCTTCATGCCTCAGTCTCCTCTTCTATAGAAGGAGGGGGTGTGAAGCCATTGATCAAAGAAGAAATCACAAGGGAAACCAGAGAATATGGGGAGATGAATAAAAACAGTTCACCCGCACTCATGAGACACCACCATGCGTGCAAAGGGAGAATCTTAGGGCTACAAATGCTTAGATTAAAACCCAAGAGGGCCAGGGATTTAGCTCAGTGGTTTTGCTGCCTGCTGTGCAAGCACAAGGACCCGAGTTCGATCCCTGGTACCAAAAAAAAAAAAATACCCAAGACAGACCTCAATTTACCAACCTAAATTTACAACTTAAGGAACTAGAAGATGAGCAAACTAAACTCAAAGCTAACAAAAAAATAATAAAGATTCAAGCACAGGTGAACAAAATTGATAATAGAAAAACAGTGGAGAAAATCAATGAAACCTAAAGCTGATTCCTTGAAAAAAAAATCAAAATTGACAAACCTTCAGCTAGATGGATGAGAGAGAGAGAGAGAACTCAAATTACAAGAATCAGAAATGAAAATGGAGACATGACTACCAAAGTGACGACAGAAATGAAAGGGCTTATAAAGGACCATTGTGAATGACTGGATAACCCAGATGAAATGAGCAAACTTGAACAAAGAATCAAAACCTGCCAAGACTAAGTCATGAAGAAATAGAATCTGAGTAGACCCATGACTAGTAGAAAACTGAATCAGAGATCAGAAATCTCCCAAAGAAGACACGCTCTGTCTTGTTGATTGTGCTAATTCACAGGCAACTGAGGTTCTGTTCCTAAAATCTTTTCCCACACCAATGTCTTCAAGAGTTCTACCTAACCTCTGTTCCAGCCAGTTCAGCAATTCTGTTGTAATATTTAGATCTTTAATCCATTTCGATTTTAGTTTCATGCATGGTGAGAGATATAGATCTAGTTTTAATCTTTGGCAAGTTGAAACCCAATTTCTCCAGCACCATTTATTAAAGAGGCTCTCTTTCCTCCAGTGAGGATGTTTGGCTCCTTTGTCGAAGGTGAGGTGGCTGAGTGTGTCTGGAGTTGTTTCTGTGTCTTCTAATCTGTTCCACTGGTCCTCGGGTCTGTTTCTTTGCCAGTAGTACCATGCTGTTTTTATCACAGTAGCTTTGTAGTATAGTTTCAAGTTGGGGGTTGTAATACCCCCTGCCATGTCTCTATTACCTAGAATTGCTTTTGCTATTCTGGGTCTCTTGTTCCAAATGAATTTTTGGATTGTTTTCTCAAGGTCCGTGAAGTATGCTGCTGGGATTTCAATTGGGATTGCATTGAATCTATATAGCAGTTTTGGAAGTATGGCCATTTTCACTATGTTGATTCTTCCTGCCCAGGAGCAGGGGATGTCTTTCCATTTTCTGATATCATCTTCAATCTCTCTTTTCAGATTGCTATAGTTTTCAGAGAAGAGGTCTTTGATTTTTTTTTTTTTTTTAGTTAGGTTGATTTCTAGGTATTTCAGTTTCTTGGATGCTATTATGAAAAACTTGGAAGCAGCTCAATTGCCCATCAACTGGAGACTGGATAAAGAAAATGTGGTTTTTTTATAAAATGGAGTACTACTCAGCCATAAAAAATGAGAAATTAGAGACATTTATAGCTAAATGGATGCACATTGAGGCAGTACTCTTCAGTGAAATAAATAGGACACGTGTATAAATACCGAATAGTTTCTCTGGTGTGAGAAACTAAAAGTGTAAATAAGGACTAAAAGGCATAATAGATAATGTGAAATAGGAGGAAAAGGGGCAAAGGGGAAGTGGGAGGGGGAGAGGAAAGGAAAGAAGGAAATGGAATTAATATCAGAAAAGGAAAAAATGGAAACAAAGTCTTTGTAAATAGGGAGGGATGGAGGGGGTAAAGGGAGGGCCGGGAAATGGGGAAAAAATAAGAGCCAAGAGAGATTATGTAAAGGTGTAAATTCCCAATGATGAATGTCATATTCTATACCTAAAATGTACCAATAAAATTAATTTTTAAAGAAGAAAAGAAAAATAATAATCTGATTGAAGGCAAAAAAAAAAAGGACAAGCTCTGGACCCAAGGGCTCCACTGGTGAATTCCCCAGACATTCAAAGAATTAACACCAATCTTTCTCAAACTTTTCTTTAAAACTGGAAGAGAAGAGAACACTTCCCGAGTCTTTCTGACCCCAACAATACCCTACTCCAAAACCAGATGGGTGGTACAAGAAAAGAAAAGTATAGACAAATAGCAGTTACAGACACTGGTGCTGAAACCCTCAGTGAAACCCTAGCAGAGCAGCCTCAGAAGCACAGTGAGAGGCTTACACACCACGGCCAAGTGGGACTTGGCTGTGGGACTCAGGATGGCACAGCACGTAAAAGCTGACCAGGGTAGTGCAGGAAGTTAACAGGATGAAGGGGACACACTGGCCACTCCTACTAAACACAGGACAGGACGTCCCAGCCAGAGCATGTAGGCAAGGAAAAGTAATACAAGACATGCAACTGGAGGGGAAGAAGTAAAAGTATCCATGTTCCAGATGATCAGATTTCATACATAGAAGACCCTGAAGTCTATGAAAAACCTGTCGGAACCAATAAGTGAGTTCAGCCAAGTAGCAGGACACGGAGCCAACACATGAAAAACAGTTGTATTCTACACAGTAACAATGAACAATCTGAAAAAAAATTCCATTTACAATAGTTCAAAAATAACAAGATATTTCAAAATTAACTGAGGAGGAGAAAGATTTGTGATTAAAACTACAAAACATTGCTACAAGAAATTAAAGACAATTAAATGGAAATATATTCCACATTCATGGCTTAGAAGACCTAATACTGTTGTTGGTATTACCCTGTTATCTACACATTCAGTGTATTGCTTACAAAATCCCAATGATGTTTTTCACAGCAATAAAAAAAAAAAAAAACTTCCTAGGGCCGGGGATTTAGCTCAGTGGTTCCGGCGCCTGCCTCACAAGCGCAAGGTCCCTTGTTCGATCCCCAGTACCAAAAAAAAAAAAAAAACTTCCTAAAATTCGCATGGAGTCTAAAGGGATCCCAAAGAACCAAAACCATCTTGAACAAAGTTGAAGGACTCAGTCTTCCTGAATTCTAAACTTACTATGAAGCTGCCATTATCAGAAGAGCGTGACATTGGCATAAGACAGACATATGGACCAAAAGAATGGAGAGCCCAGAACTAAACCCTCACATATAGAACCACTAAGTTTTTTGGTTTTTGTTTTTTGCGGGTTTTTTGGTACCAGGGATCAAACTTAGGACCTTGCACTTTTGAGGCAGGTGTGGTGCCACTGAGCTGAATCCCCGGCCCCTAGAGGATTTTTAATAAGCATGCCAAGACCATTTGTGGAGAAAGAAAGATGCTTTCAATAGATGGCACTGGGAAAACCGCAAGCAAAGGAATGAATTTGGATCCTTACCTCACACCATTTTGAAAAATGAACTCAAAGTGGATCAAAGATCTCAATGGAAAATCAAAGCTATAGAAATCTTAGAAGTCACAGGGGAAACCTTCAGGACATTGGATTTGGTAATGATTTCTTGGGTATGACACCAAAGGCACAGGTAGCAACAACAAAATAGACAAATTGGACTTCTGAAAAATTTTAAAACCTTGCACATCCAAGAACACTATGAATAAAGTAAAAAGACAACAGGAGAAAATATTCACAAATCTTGTATCTGATAAATGATTAATATTCAGAATACATAAAGAACTAAAATTCCACAGTAACAACAAAAACTCTTCAAAGATGGGCAAAGCCCAATAGAGGAATAAAACTAAATCACTAAAAATTAACCCCAAAAAGGTAGGAAGGGAAGACAGAGGCACACGCAGATGGGACATTCACACCAGCAGAGGAGGAAGAGGGCCACAGTGGCCCCTTGCTGGCCAAATGACTTACCCCGATCTGTTGATTGACTGAGTGCTCACCAAGGTCCTGTGTGCTTCCAGGGCCTGGTCAGGGCACCAGCTGAGGGCACTGAGTCCCAGGCAGGCTTTCCCTCTGCCCTGCACACCTCTCACACGCTTTCATGCTACACTGGGCCTTCTCCTCTGCCCCGGTGCCCAGGCACTGGGAGGGGCTCCTGACCTACACACTGGGTGGACAGGCCACCCGCAGACGGCAGCTGCCTGGGGAGGCTGAAACCAGGGGATGATGGCTGGATTCGGGGTCTGGCCTCCCAGAGGGGTAGAGACCAGTAAAGGACCTCAGGGGTCTCCAAATGCTTGACCAGGAGGGAGTGGCAGGACTGCAGCCACAGGGAGCAGATAGGGGCAGGAACCAGCTTCCGGGGTCCCTGTAGGACCCCAAGATGAGACCCAGACAGCTGGCTGCCCCCTCTGCCCTCTGCCTGCTGTCCCTGCACCCACCCTGCCCTCTCCCCTTGCAGGAAGCTGTGGACGATGTTGCCTCTGCCCTGAGGCTCGACCCGGGGACCGTGGTCCCTGAGCTCCACTCTCTGAAGCCGGAAGCCCAGTTGCTGCTCACTCAGGGCCTCCATGCCCACTGCCGGGCCCTCCTGAGCCAGCTGCTGAACAGCAGGCCACCCCTCATGGACGAGGCTGCCCATGGCCTCCTTGCCATGGGGGAGGCGCTGATTAGAGTCAATGCTTCACAGCCAGGCTGGCACATCCTCCTCGTGGACATCCTCACAGCACTGGGTATGGGTCACCCAGGAGCAGGGACACAGTGTCTGCCCCCCACCCCTGACCCTCCGTATTCCTTTCTGCAAACCGAGACAGAGAGTCCTGCACTGCAGCTCCTGGGGCCCCTTTCACCCCAGTCCCATGGCTGCAGATCCCCATGAGCCCTGCTGTGGAGCTGCTGTTCCTCTCCTCTGGCGTGAAACTAGAAGAGCAGGGGCTTTATCAAAGGGCTCCCACTCAGCCCTCACTCTCATGCCAGTCTGCAGCAGTGGTTCAGGGGCCAGGCCTGTCCTGGGCACAGGTGGGCCAGGTGTGGTCTTCCCTGCCAGCCCACATCAGCTGCAGCTGGGCAATTGCTGCACCACTCACACCACCCCTGCCACTCTGTTCAGGCAGGCTGGCTCTCGTTCTCAGGCTCAGGCAGGAAGCAGGGGCAGCGGTGACCTCTTGGAAGATCAGAACCTGCTGGCCCTTCCCAGGCTCCTGGAGTTGGGGGGTGTTCTGCAGGAAGTCCACACAGCCACCATGGACTCCCAGTGTGCAGCCAGCCCTGTCCTGGGGCTAAGTGCCCATCAGCCGGGTCTCTGGCCAGCACGTTCCACCTCTTGTGTGTCCTCTGCCTCAGCTTCACACTGACGGTCCTTCCTGGATCCTACAGGCAGGTATGAGGAGGCTCGTGCCCACCTGCAACCAGCCCTACAGTCCTCCTCACCACCAGCAGCAGCCCGGGCCCGGAGGGGCCTGCTCCAGCTCAAGAAAGGAAACGTGGCCACTGCTGCCCAGGACCTGCAGTGCCTGGCGGAGACAGATGCCCAGGACCTCAGCTTCCTGTTGCGCCTCCTACAGCCCTCGGAGCAGCAGAGCCTCACCCAGGTGTGCACGATGCCCACAGAGCCCCATTTCGGCCCCTCCCTAATACCACGGGCTCCAGACCCCCAGGCCCAGGACCCAGGTAGCTCTTCCCACCCCACTGGTGGGTTGGTGCACTGGGCCTGGGTGGGTGTGAGGGGTCCCAGTCCAGCTGAGAACACGGGCTCTGGCCACTGTGGCCCGGATAGCCCCACTGACCTCCCAGCTTCTGTGCAAGGGGAGTGTAAGCCACAGGTGACCTGGGCGGGGGTCCCTCTCCCCAGAGGGAGGCTGAGGGAGCCTGGGGCACCTGGCCTGGCAGGAAGCCCATCCCACCACCACCTCAGGCCAGGAGCAGACTTTGACGCCAGAGGGATTCAGGGTCACACTAGTGATCACACACACACACACACACACACACACACACACACACGCTGCTCCTGGGTTCTAGCAATTAACCAGCAGGAAACAAACTACACTAGGCGTTTCGGCAAACCACACGAGGGCATGCTAGGCATTTTAGCAAATCACGCTGCGTGTTTCAGTTGAAAGCCGCTGCCCACGGGGTGTTGGGTACTTCCTCCTGCAGGAAAGCACTGTGGCCCCGGCAGAGGCACCCAGAGGCTGCGATGGTGTGGGCAGGACCTAGAACTCAGAGGAGGGGCCAGGATGGGGTCTCAGAGCTCTAAGGAGGGACCCGAAGCCTCTGAGCCTGAAGGGGGCGGGGCACAGAGGCCTCGGACCCAAGAGTAGAGGCCTGGGCTGGGGTCTCGACGATTGAGCTCTGAGCTGGAAGGAGGGCCGCCTGGGGCTGGGGTCTGGGAGCTTGGAGAGGAAGCCTGGCTGGGGAGCAGGTTTCTGAGCGAAGGGACTGGAGGGGTTGCTCTGAGAACCTGGCAGCCAGGCAGGGGCGGGGGGTGACTGGGCGGGGGTCTCAGAGCACTGCGGGTCGTAGATCGGGCGGGGGCTGCTGGCTGGGCCAGGATTCAGAGCTAGGGGTACGGGCTAGGCCAGGATGTCCTGGCTGGACGAGGTCTCGGGGCTCTGGGAGCCTCGAGCTGCGGTCTCGAAATTATAGCGCGTGCTGGTGGGGTGTCGGAGCTGGTGGGTTCGCTGTTGGGCTGGGAGGGTACCCCGGGGAGGTGGCTGAGCAGAGGTCCCCGAGCCCCACGGGGGCTTGGCTACGGGGAAAGCTACGTTGCCAACCTACTTGGGCCAACCCGGAAGCGGAGCGGAAATGCTCCCTTCCCGCTTCCAGCGTGGCGCCTGCCCCGCCCACGGGCGGCCTCTCTGCCACTCTGCGCCTGCGCCGCAGAGCCCCTCCGCGGCAGCCTGGGAGGGTCGGGCTTCCGCGCCCTCGTTTATTTACCCCCCATGGCCCTCGCAGGGCCCTGATACCTCTAACACCTTCTTCCCTCGGCTCCGACTCCGCGCAGCCTAGAGGGCGGAGTCCGGAAAGCCCGGCATCGGGATGGGGCTAGGGGTGCTGGAGGAGCCCCAGTGAGAGCCAAGGAGAGACCGTCGCTGTCCCGACTGTTTCCGGCATGGGTTGGCAATGGAGAGAACCCCTTAGTGCAGCGAGGCACCCCACGCCCAACTTGGGGCAGCGAGTGGCACCCAGGACCATGCCGGGCAGAGGCAAGCTTGGTGCCGTCCTAGGGCCCGGGAGCCTTGGAGGGTGGCAGCAGAGACCAGCTGTGCAGAGGGGCTCCGTGGCTGAGGGGCCGCGGCCTGGGCTGACGCTGGCCCCTCCCTCCATGTCCTCTGTGCAGGCTGCGGCCCAGGAAGCCAGCACCCTCCTAGGCGCAGGGCAGCCCGGGCAGGCGTTGGGCTACTGCTCTCTGGCTGTCCTGGCTGGGGGCAGCCTTACCTGTCACCTGCGTCTGCGGGCCATCTGCTTGGGCGAGCTGCAGCAGTTTGGCCGGGCCCTCGGAGACCTGGACCACGTGCTGCAGGAGGGTGCCGGGGACAGTGACCTGCAGGTGCGGACAGAGGACTTCTGTTCCAGGGGCCGCCTGCTGCTGGGCCTGAGGGACAAGGAGGGGGCCGCGGGGGCCTTCACCCGGGCCCTCGAGCTATCACCTGCTCTGGCCCAGCGCAGCCTGTGGGAGCGGCCAGGCCAGGCCCCTGTTGCCCATGTGTTCCTGCATTTTGGGCAGCACTGCCTGGAGGAACAGCGCTACGAAGAGGCCTGGACAGCGGCCCAGAGCGGCCTCCTGGTGGACCCCAACCATGGTGGCCTGAAGAAACTGAAGGCAAGAACCCGAAAAGAGGCATCCTCTGGCTGCCGGCTGCACTGACAAGGCCAGGCCTGACCACAGGGCCTCTGTCTTCCTCACGCTGGGGTGCGCTGGCTCCCAGATCACTGAGGTCCCCTCTCCGCCTGCCCCCTCCATTCCTAACACAGGTGGCTTTGGACAGCCCGCTTCCGCCCCTGTTCCTTGGGAACTTCGGGGAGGAGGGAGAGCTTCCTGGTGGTGAGGGCCCTGCCCCCCGGCACTCAGCTCCCACCACGGGGCAGCCTCGCCCCCACAGCTGGGTCCTCTTGGCCCAGGCCTGGGAGGTGACTCGGGTCTGGACCCAGCCTGGGGGTCCTGCAGGTTGGGTGACATCAAGGGCAGTCCCTTGTGCCCCTGGGGAAGATGTGCCAGCCCGATTGGGCCCTCTGGGCACAAAGCTGCCTTTGACTCTGCCTTGACCTGAGGCCTCGTGGGGCCCTCACGGTGGCCTCCCCATGCATGCTGCCCATCCTGGAGCTGACCCTGACCCTGAGGAGCTCGTTCACAGGGAATCCATCCCCAGCCACCCTTCCTCCCTCATAGGCCCCAGGTTCTGCTTGCCCTGTGTTCTGCCCTCCAGGCCACAGTGTGTTCTCCCCATGGATTAAATGTCCCTGGCTGTCCTGCTTCCTGCTAGTGTGTTCAGAAATCCTGGCCATCCTTCCTGTCAGTAGCATGAATCGAGGCCCTAGCCGGAGGATTTTCACTGTCTCTGCACCAGGGAACACTGGGCAAACCAGCTGGGCTTGGAGACCCCTCTCCGAGTGCAGCCCACGGCTCCCCGTCCTGGGCGCTTGTCGGCCTCTGCCTGGCCACACTCCCTCCCATGCCGTCATCGAAGCCCTGCCTCCTGGGCTCCCCAGGCCACGTAGCCCCAACCCTGCTCGTCCCTGGGCAGCAGCAGGAGGGCCCTTCTGGGGTTGGCAGCGCCTCCCTCGCCAGGCTGCACAGCTCCCGTCGTCCACCTTGCAGGGTGTCCTCAGCCCCCAATGTCACCACACCAGTGCCACTCGACACCTGCCAGGCTTCACCACAGGGGCTGGACGAGGGCTCAGTGTCTTCCACCTTGAGGACAGAGTGGACAGGAGCCCAGAGGGAGGAGGCTCCAGTCGGTGCCCAGCCCAGTGTCCCCACTCAGCACCTCCAGGCAAGCCCTGCTTTCCGGGGTCTCCCAGCATAACTCCTCGCCTCTTCGCTCCGTCCATCCGTCCCTCTCCGCCCTCTGTCTCCACCTGCACTCGGTGGGTCCTCAGACATTTGCCAGCAGCCCCAGGGGCCGGGGGCATGCCAGGGTGGGGGACACAGGGTCCCAAGCTCAGGTGGGCCTGGGCTGGAGGGGCTGAGGATGAGGCAAGGCCCCGAGCTGCAGGAGTGGCAGAGACAGCACCGGCCTCCCAGGGGCACTGTCCCTTCCTGTGTCTTTGCTCCCCGTCCTCCCACCTGGGGTGTCCTGCCCTGTTGGTCCTTGCAAGGAGATTGGGGAGCTGGCCATGCCAAGTGTCCAGGTGCCCACCCAGCAGAGCCACCTTCAGGACCTCCCGGCCCTCCGGGCCCACTGGCGTTTTCTGTCCCCTAAGGACAGCAGTGCTGTCCAGATTATCTTGCAGGGGCCCCGGTCAGCCTTGCCCACCTGGCACCTTCCTGTGGCCCCCATAATTCGTATTGGGATTCTCACCCTCACCAGGATGGTATTAGGACATGGGGCTTTGGGGAGGTGATTGAGGCCTAAGGAATGGGGTTCGTGCCTTTATGAGACCCCAGAGAAATGAGACATGGTGCTGCAACCTGTAATCCCAGCTGCTCAGGAGGCTGAGGCAAGATTTCAAGTTCAAAGTCAGCCTGGGAAGCTCTACCTCAAAATAAAAAGGCCTCAGGGTATAGCTCTGGGAGAAGAGCATTTGACGAGCGTGTGTGAGGTCCTGGCTTTGATCCCCAGGATTGCAAGCAAAAACCCAGAGAGACCTCTGCCCGCTTCACAATACAGGAACACAGAAGGCCCTGTCTGTGACCCAGGCTGCACCTCCTGCCGAACCAGCTAGAGCCTCCTTGTTGGACCCACCCAGCCCCACATCTGTGAGAAAGCCATTTCCGTCACCAAAGAGCCACCCAGTGGTAGTGGGACACAGTGGACCGAATGGCCCCGCCTACCACCTCTGCTCTGCCTGCAGACCCAGGCCTCGCTGCCCAAGCACCCTCCCCTCTGGGCCCAGCCGGACCCCCCCACACACACCAAATTCAGCCTAAGTGTCCCAGACAAGAATGCGCTGCCTTGGGGCCATCTCAGGGCCAGGTCCAGTGGCTCAAGCCCTGCAGTTCCATCCAGCTCCCTGGGCAGCCCTGGGTTCGGTTCTTTCCTCTCCGTCATTAACTGTGGCTCTGTGGCATCTAGATTTCCCCAGCCAAGGACAGTGCTGAGTTCAGACCGAACTCCAGGCCACCACGTTAGCACACCTGCCCAGCCGGTGGCCCGGCCCTCATTACAGGTCTAGCACCACCGAGGTGGCCGTGGAGGACACCCAGGGCCTCCTTGGCACCTGGCCCAGGTGCTGCTGAGGGTGTGGGGAAGGTCATGTCCTCTGACTCTGGGAACACTGCTTCCACCCGGAGCTCCGAGGCCAGGAATTCGGAATCCTCAGCTTCATCTCAGCCAACCAGACGCCCCGCCCCATTCTGTGTTTCAGGGTCCCCTTCCTTCCAAATCCGCACCCCACCTCAAGAGAACGTGGCCATGAGTTCCTGCCCCACATTGCAATCCCACTTCAGGGGGGAGGAAGTCTCAGCCCCGCGGCGGTAGAAAGCCAGGGGCACCGAGGTGAGGAGGGCTGTCCCTGCTCCCATTCGTGGCCTCCTCCTTGGAGCCCTGGGCTGCAGCGCTCCACACCTTCCATCTACCACCCGGGCAAGGGTGCACAGGAGCCCCTGCCCTCCTCGAAGTGAAGCATGAGAATCCACCCTCGGCGTGCTGGGCCGCAGCCCTGGGATGGTGGATGTGTCGAGTGTGGCGCGCGCGCGGGCACCGTGTGGGCCCTATGAGGAGTCCTGGCCAGGGCTGGGCTCTGCAGCCCCCTCTCCCCGCCTCGTTGGGCTCCCAGCCTCTGGTTCCCGTCTGCACTAGGCGAGGCCCAGGACCCGGGCAGCCCCAAGCTTGGGAAGGGAAAGTGGGCTCAGAGATGAGCCTGCATCTGGGTCCCGGGGGCCTGGTGGCCTGGTGGCCTTGGGCTGAGCGTGGGGCAGGCCTCAGGCAGGGAGTGGAGGTGCAAGGCCAGCCTGGAGACCCCAGCCAGCCTCGCTAGGCCCTGGCTCAGTCACCTAGAAAGTGGGGGCCAGTTTGAGGCCCAACCTCCCAGGCCCTCTGACATTCGTTGCCTGGAAGCTTCCAACGTGGGCGCTGTCTGCCCCATGACGCCTGGCTCTGTGGCCTGGTGCCGCCCAGACCCCTTGCAGAGCCAGGCCCCAGCAAAGGAAGGACTTGCCAGCTGGGGATCTGAAGCACAAGGGAGGCAGGACTGGAGAAGGGGACCCCTGGGCTTCTGTGGGGGCCTGCTCTGCTCAGACCCTGTACCCCATCAAGACGGTCTGGGTGACTGGCTGGACCTGGGAAGCCCGGTGTCTCTGGGCGGGGACAACCCTGCAGCCCTGCCTGCCCCACTGTGAGCCGGAGTCCCCCACCTGGAAAGGCCCCCGAGCCCACCACCCTGTTGCAGTAGAGGAAGAAGACACCAGGGCCTGCAGAGCCCCTGGCCAACATCTCCTAGCCAGGTGGGGGGGGTGGACCAGGAGAGGGGCCTGGGCAGCAGGGGTCCCCTCCCCACCCTAGCGACCATGGAACTCTGGACCAAGCTGTCACCTGGCCTCCAGGGAGCCCTCACGGCATCACAAAGCAGGCTGGAAGCAGCCCAAAGTGACCTCACAGTGCACCCCCACCTCCCGCTGCTGCTCTCCTAGACCAGAGCCCACCCCTTGGTCAGAGCACCCCAACTCCAGGACCCCCCCAACCCAGCCTTCAGGGACCTACTGTGGGTGGTGGCCGCTCCAGAGTGACGGAAGGGTGAGGTTTGCTGGGTAAGGGGCTGCCTGGCCTGCTTTCCAGGGCAGTGCCTTGGGGACACCCTGGAGGCTAGCCTGCTTCCCACAGGCCTAGAGGGCACTTCCTGGGTGCCGCACCTGCCTCTCCCCCTGCATGACAGCCCAGAGAGATGCCTGCACCATCTCAGGCAATGGGACCTCGGCTGCCAGGGCCCAGCCTTGGCAGGCCGCAGACACCACGGAGCCTGGCACACAGCCCCACTGTCTCTGGCTCGGTCACCTGGCTCCATCTGAAGGGTTTCACGGTGGGAGTGTCCACCCCACAGGAAGTCGGGGGGGGCAGAGCTTACGGGACAGAATGAAGGGAGCTGGCAGAATGCGCGTGTGAGTTTGACTCAGAGCAAGGAAGTACAGTGTCCCTGAAACCGAAGCTGCAAATCCTAGGACGGGCGCAGCCTTGGCCAGGACTCACTCACGCATCGCTTCACACTCCTTCTTGGGTGTGTGAGTGCCCGGGTCTCTGTCCCTGGGCAGCTGTGTGGATGCCCGGGCGGTGGGCACTAGTCCAGATGCAGATCCGCAGGCCGAGTCCTGCCCCTAGGGAGGCCTCAGGGGCCAGTGGAAACAGGAATGGGTCAGTGCCAGTGGGGCCATGGCTGTCGAGGGGCACAGCAGAGGACAGACTGAGACTTTTCCAGTTGCACCCAGAAGCCAGGTCAGGGAAGGGCCCCCCAGGAAAGGTGACTCTAGAGGGGACCTGGAGGTGGACGGTGCTAACAAAGGCGCCTAGGGAGGGGGTGCCTGCAGGGCAGTGGCAGTCACAAGGGTCATCTCAGCCAGGGGCGAGAACAAGGTCCAGCTGCTCCTCCAGGAGGCATGGGAGCCAGGGGCCCTGGGAGTGACATCCCCTGCTTAGGGCCCCTCGGGAGAGGTGGGGACAGACCCTTCAGAGGCTGGGGCATGTGTGGTGGGCTTGGAGCAGGCAGTGGGGCAGAAATGAGAGGACATCGGTTCTGGGAGAACTGGGGCCTCAGGGCTGGATGGGCATGGGGTCGCACGAGGGGTCCAGGGTGACTCCAGGGTTTGGCAGCAGCAACTGGGAGAGAGGTCGACGGTGGCGGGGGGGGACCTTTGGGGGAACTTCCTGGGTTCCATGGCTGCAGGCGCTAGACAAGGGGACCCCTGCAGACCAGGGGAGGCCCGAGGCCACCCATAGCCAGGAGACTGAGGGGGGCAACGGAGGGGGCACAAGGCCAGGTCCCAGCCCCACTCAGCACCCTGTCGGGGAACTGAGGAGACCAGGGGCCCACGCGGCCCTCACAGGGACTCACCCGGAGGTTCCCAGCCCAGCTGGCTCAGGACGGTGTCCCCTCTGCAGTGACAAGCAGCACCCCAGCCAGGTGGCTCCAGGGCTGGGCTTTGAGGCTGCCAGACCCTGCTTGTCCCTTCCTGGTCCTCATGGTCACCACTGCGGGGTGCCAGTCCTCTTTGTCCTTCCATCTCGGCACCTGGGCTCCAGCTCACTGCCTCCCGGACAGTGTCTCTGACCCAGCGCCCAAGCCCGTGTGTCCAGAACCCACAGGCACAGGCAGCACCACTGCAGCGGCCCCTGGACAGCACAGGACCAGAGGCTCCTGGGTCCGCTGCAGACCCGACCTGAGCGGCAGGGGACCCAAGAGAAGCTGACCTTGAGACAGCCTGCCCATGGCCCACCACAAGGCCGCCTCCCGCCCCCAGGTGGCCCCAGGCACTTGGAGGCTCTGCCCGGGGCTAGTGTGAGACCTGGAAGGGGAGACAGCGGTCAGCCTGGGAGCTTCCCGCTCCCTGCCCTCGGCCTGCAGACGCTCAGCTGTGCACCTTCTATCCAGAGCCTGGTGATGGGGAAGCCAGAAAGCCCGGCGGGGATGGTGGACAGAGCCGGCTGGGCAGTGCAGAGGCGCCGAGGCTTCCTGGAGAGGGGGCTGCTGCTCCTGCTCCTGCTGGTGACGGGCGCCCTGGTGGCCCTGGGCGTCCTCTACAGCCGAGGTGAGTGAGGGGACCCCGTGTTGCTACCCCCGCCCGGGGTCTGCACCGGCCAGGCGAGCACCCGACCCGTGGGGCAGGCGGGGCTTCCTGTCCACCCAGGCTCCCTCTGTGCTGCCGGCCGACAGGCTTCGGGAAGACACGGAGGACGCTGACCTGCAGGGCGCCGGCGGCCTTCCCGAGAACTCCCAGCGGGCGCGCGGTGAAGCGGCTGCCTCTGCGGCTCCGCACCGCCCCCCTGCCTCTGAACTGGGCGGGCTGGACGCAGGAGTGCCGCAGACGCCCCGCCCCATCGCCACCCCCTGCCTGCCTCTGCAGCCCTGGTGCTGCAGTTCCCAGCCGGGCCCGGCAGCAGGAGCCCACGCCCCTGAGCTGGGGACCCTCTCGGCCAGCTCACCTAGCCGCCGGCCGGAGGACGGGATTACCGATCGGTCCTGCCCGCTGGTGACCTTTGCCCATGTCCCGGCTCTAGTGCCCAGGCCAGGCTCTGCTCACTGCAAGGCAGTGGGGTGGGGGCCACCAAGGCAGAGGCGTGGCCAGGGCTGCCTAGCGCCACCCCAGCTGCCCCAGGAACTGCTCCCCACTCCCTTCGTTTCTCCTGCTCCCCCTACAAGGCCCAGTGAAGGAGCTGATGCACCCTTGGGGTGGGGAACACCCCCGGCCGGGCAGCAGGCACCTGGGCTCAGTGCTGACTGGTGCTGGGGTTGCTGGTGCTTCCAGTGGGGAGCAAGGGCTGCAAGTGAAGCGCTTACCTGGGCCAGTGTCCCTAGAATGTTCCCTCGGGGACAGAGTTCCTGGAGCCCAAAGTGGGCGCTGCCCATGGCCAGTGGGCAGCCCTAGGCAGAACCCACCTGAGCGCAGCTGCCACCCAGTGGCCACATGGTCTGTGGACCCCATGGCCTCCAGCAGGGCCGGCGGGCATTGGGGTGGAGCCAAGGCAGGGGACCTTTGTTTGGGGCTCACTGGGCTCCAAACACCTGGGTTTGTGGCTTCTGAGAAGAGGCCTGTGGCCCTACCAGCCCGTGGGGGCGCTGCTCCTCCTCTGGGTGGTCCCGGGAGACAGGAGCAGCCCGAACCAGCCAGCCTCCTCTCCCCGGGGGCCCTCGAGTCTCCTCGAGGTCTCTGACTGCTGTTCACCTGTCCCGTCTGTCTGTCCTCGGCCCTCCCTCCAGTGCTGCACCCTCCCGCAGCTGGGGTCTCCTAGCCCCCTGCAGCTCCATGCAGACTCTGGCTCTTCTGCTAGGGTCCCGGACCCCAGGAGTGACCCACAGCTGTCCTCAGTCCAGGAGGAGCTGGCGGGAGGCTTTCTGTGCAGGCTTGTTCTTGTGCACGTCTGTATTTTCTCGTTTCCACTCTGAGTTCGCACTTGACTCACAAGTTATTGAGGTTTAGACTTTTAATCTGTAGACACAGGTGAGTTCAAGTTACCTTTCTGAGTTATGACCGGTTTCTGGCTGAACTGGGCTGGTGTCCGAAACCCTGGTTCCTGGCCATACTGGGGGGATTCTCCAGGTCTTCCTGTCAGTCTTGCAGATAGTCCAGCCCTGCTGAGGGACACGCCCAGCCCCTTAAACAGGGAGGGGTCCTCCTGCCCTCAAGCTCAAGCTCTGCCAACTCGGTATATTCGCTTTCTTCTGGCTCTTGATCTTTCAGTTATTGAAAGGGGTGAGGTTTTTTTGTATGTGTGTGTGTGTGTGTGTGTGTGTGTGTGTGTGTAAAAACCTTGCAGCAGCGAATTACCAATTTCCTGCAACTCGTATGTGTACTGACTTCCCAGGATGAATGTATGAATGTATACATTACATATTGTAAATGTGCATTCATAAAAAAAAATTACCAATCTCCTCTAGCTCCCATGTCAAACACAAACTTACCTAACTTAACTTTTTAAGGCTTAACTCTTTATTACACGGGTACAAGTTTCAATACATATTATAAACTCAGTCTCATAAATGTAAGACAACTTCATATTTAGATACACGAAATTAATCTATCTTCCTCTGCACATCATTATGTAGTTGACTCTTTCTGACTGAACAATGCTTTTTGCCCTAAGTTCTGTTTTGTTTTAAAAGTCCTTCTGTCCTTCATGAACAGTAGCTACTCACTGGCATTTGCTAATCTGCGTGTCCTGCGTTCTTGTCTCTGGCAACTTTCTGTGTTTCACACAACCCCTGTGTGGATTTGGAGGCCTGTCTTCTGGAGGGTCTTGTCTAGCTACGATCACCGTCTTTACTAAAATGTGCTTTTCCTACTGTGTTTGGTTCCTGGAGTCTGTCTCCGCTCTTTTCTTCCCTTCTTTGGGATCGGTCTATAATTTTTCACTCCATTTTCCATCAACTCGCTTGGAGCTTTTGTATTTCAACCCTTTGATGGTTATCCCAGACATTTTTGTTTTAATTGCTTGTTATTTTAGAAGTTACAAACATTTTTTTTTGAAAAGTCAAATGTGATTACAAAACTTACAGTCCTGTGCCCTATCCCCTACCCGTGCTGGAATGCTGCTTCTCGGAAGCTGCCCTATTTAGGGTCTGGCGTGCAAGCCAACAAACTACGGCCCCTGCCTGTTTTTATCAATAAAGTTTTATTGGAATAGCGCCACAGCCACCTGTTCGCACGCTCTCTATGGCTGCCTCCTCCTACAACAGTGCTGAGTACATGACATGGAGTCTGCTGTGGCCACACAGCCTGCGGCATTTACCACCTGACCAGATGCACACTGCCTGCCCTGGCTGCAGGGTCTCCTGTGTCACTGAAGTGGGTCCTTGGACCCATCTCTCTTGATTGTGCAGTGTAGACAGTGAAAGGCACAGTAGGCATGGTTGGCACCAGAGGGGACAGCATGGCTGGGCACTCTAGCCCCTCAAATCACAGCTGCGTGACCTTGGACAGTTTCCATAACACCTCTCTGCCTCAGCTTCCTTCTCTGTAAGATGGAAATGAGAGAGGAACATGCAGGAGAGCCTGACTTGAGTGTTCAGTGGTTTACTGTCAGCGATGCTTATGAGATTGTCCATCGTGCAGGCTGTGGTCAGATTTAGTACCACGGTGTCAGGCGTTCCCGTGGACTCTCGGGACTGTCACTGACGTCCAGTACTCAGGGTCGAGCTCCACAGGCCACGGGGCCCTAACCCAACAGAGGTTAGTCCGTCACTTTTGGTTAAATCCAGCCTCCTCGCTTACAATGTTTTATAGGGTGTTTTTCACACGTGAACTGTGAGGAGTAATGGATCGCATTTCCTATCATTAATAACTAACTTATTTGAAGTTTCCCTTTCTCTATCAAATTATTTTTATTACAAGGCCTGTCTTGGATCTCAAATAACAAATCTGTTTTTTAAAACAGATTTTAGTTTTAGTTGTGGGATTTCCAAGGATAATTCATAGTGGTGTCAGTTGTTAATCCCTCTAGGTGTGGGCCCATTCAAGATGGCATTACTCAATTAAAAATTTTTCCCTGACTTCTCTGATCTTATCTCCAAAAACAATTGTTTAAAAGTGAGCAGCTTTTAATTTGGCACATAGAGCTGTAATTTTCTGTCCTCTTCCACAGAGGTTACAAGTGAGGATGCAAAGGGACCCCTCTGACAGTTTCTAACCTGAGACGCCACATGGAGCTTGTTCACACTGCTTCCTGGTGCTGCCAGCCCTGGGACTGCATAAGGCCCCGGAATCTCCCCAGGATCCGCTTGTCTCAGGACACAGTGTGCCTCTAAACCTCCAGAGATGCTCTTGCCCCTGTAACTGTTAGGCAGGAGTTCGGTGGCACAGTGTGGTTTGGTCTGCACAGGTAAAAGGAGTTAATCATCTTTCTAGGATTCTGTGATGTTACCAGGCTCACTCACTTTTTAAAAACATTTCCAATGCTTCTCTTTGTCCAAATTCCTTCCTGGCCCCATTTTCCGTCTTTCTGAGTAAATTCCTATACCACTCCTAGTGGTGAAGGTGTGCATTTGAATTCTCTGCACTTATGCTTGTCTTTTAAAAGTCACTTGGTGTTCACTTTGAAAGATATTTTCTCTGGCCGTGGAATCCAGGAGGTGACCAGTATCCACCTCCCTGTCACTCCATTGTCTTCTGGCCTGCATAATTTCTAATGAGAAGCTACTGAGATTCATATCCTTCTTCCTTTAGCCATGAATTTCTTCTTCTTTTATACTATGTTCATGAATTTTTATTTACAGCAGTTTGGCCATAGTATATATAGGAAGTCTGTGTAAGTATTTTGGTATTTATGAAGTTTGGGGTTTTCTGAAATTCTTTTGACTTTGCTATCTTTCATTCATTTGGGGAAATAATCACCATCTTTTCAAATATTTCCTCTCTCCTCCCCTCGCCCCTCCCTCCCTCTACCTCTTCCCCCTTTCCCCCTCTTCTCTCCTCCTCCTCCTCCCCATCCCTCTCTCCCCTCTGCTTCTTTCCTCATGAGGAAGTTGCTATAAGATCACAAGGCTGCCCCCCGCCGGGGTCCATCTCTCCCTCTTGGACACATTTCACCAGGACACCAAACCAATGTGGCTGCCCGATAGTGGGCTTTCAGCCTCCTGAACTATGAGCTGAAGAACTCTTCTCTATAAAGTTCCCACCCTTTTTATTTTGTTATAGCAGCAGAAAATGGACAGAGGCACTGCTCTGGTGCCAGCCTGCGGCTGCTGATTGGTCCTGGGCTCATGCTGGAGCCAGGGCTCCCTGTGTCCTGGCTGGTCTCAGCCACAGGCAGACCTTGTGCACCCGGCTGTTGGTAGAGCTCTCTCAGTGTCCCTGCCCTGTCCCCCGGTTAGCCAACCTTATTCCTTACCTCTTACAGATCAGAGAGGCTTTGCTGGCCCTGGGAGTGACCGGATGCCCCTCCCCGCAGCGGGAAACAACATCAATGTTAATCTCCACTTTGCACCTCCCAGTTGGCTCCTGTGCTCGTCACCGATTACATCCCCAGTAGTCCTTAGGAAACAACTTTTCTTCTTTCTGAATCACATGCTTTGAAGTCTGCTATTCAAGATGTG